TATTGAAAGACTATTGAAAGACTATTGAAAGACTATTGAAAGACTATTGAAAGACTATTGAAAGACTGTTCAGTACAGCAGGACAGATTCTCTCTCCCAAAAGAACCAGACTGAACTCAAAAAACTTTGAAAAGCAACTTCTTCTGAACTTGAACAAGAAATTCTTGCTGCAATATTAAAATGTGTCAGTTCATGGGATGTTAGGAGACAAGAGATGTCTCCAAATGTCTCGACACTCGGGTCCAAGTTTTGAAAATGGTGTCAGGAAGTTAAAATATTGTTCACTATTGACCCATTACAAGGTTGAGACAGTATTTTAACTAGAGTTGATGACAAACTGGAGTTGAACTTATCAGATATTTCTTTGTTAGTTGTGTCTAATGCTCCTTTTTTCAGGCAGACAACTTTTACTTAAATGTTTTTACTGCAGTTAAAATGACACGTCGGTTTTGCTTTGTGTTAAATAAAAACTTTCAAAGGTATAATCATTCCTCTTTCTTATTTTGCTTAATGGCATTTAACTCTGCAGGTCATCCCTGAAATTCTGACGCACAGAATCACGAGTCCAAGAGTGAACTGTGTCGCAGAGTAAACACAATAAAAACATGAATTATCTGCAGCATTGTTCATTAAAATGACTCAACATTATTAATGTTTTACAGAAAATATACATACGGTAGGCACACAATGATATTGTAGACCATTGTATTAGGTAATACGTTCAGCAAGTAATTTTACTTTAAGAATTTTTAAAAGAAAGTACTTACTTACTTTTACTTAAGTAAAAACGTTAATGTGGTACTTCTACTTTTATTAGAGTACATTTCTGTCTGTTTATTTGTACTTTTACTTAAGTGTTTGAGTACTTTCTCCACCACTGCAAAACATTAGTATCAGTATGGGGGTATGTGTACAACAAAATAATATGCACAGAAATAGTTTTGCGAGCTGTGCGCTCAAACATGGGGTACTCAAAACTCGGCTCGCTGGGCATTTTGTTAAAATACTCTGAGTTTAACAAGACTGTAACTGAAAAACTGTGTTTTCTCATGATATTCAGTCAAGTCTGACTTACTAACTACCGGTAGTCTGAAACTGTTACAGCCCAGAAAGATCCAATCTTTGAGACCATGTTCACATTGGATGAAGACCCCTGGCTGTCCTCTTTGACATTTTAGACCGTACATCCCAGCAAATTTGGAAACTTTCTTCAATCATGGTGCTCACATGTTCTAATTACTCACCAAATAGGTTTTGGTCTTCTATTTTCTGAGACCCTTCCCTGCACCCTCACCACATTTTAAACATCAGCAGAGCTTTTCTATCGCAGTCCTTCCATGTAAACCTATGAAATCACCAAAGACCCTGTCCTGGTTTGACTGACTCGGACCACGTCAGAATGTAGCTACACACTGAAAGATGCTAAGCTGCCATGATCTTACTGCCACACGTCTGTGCTAGAGTTGTTTCCATGACCTTGTCTGCTGCTGTGGAGAAAGAAATGCTTCATCGGGTTGAGTGGATAGTGATGAAGGGGTTTTCTGTGCATCTCACCTCAAGGTGAATGAAGGACAGCAGCCACGTGAGAGCGTTGCAATACTTAAGAGCTGACAGTGCAGCGTGGACAGGACGGGGTAGTAGCTAAGGCATGAAGCCAGTTCTGCTTCAAATGTTCAACAACCAAACGCCATGCTCCCCCATGCTCCACCCAAGACCCTACCTACTATCATCACGACCACACCATGGAGGTTTTGTGTA